GAATTGTGACTCCCACATTGCGCATCAAATCCGACGCATTATGTCCGAGCGCTGCCATGTATGATGCAGAAGGCTCAATCTGTCGAAATAAATTTCACTGCGTGACATGTTGAGGCTGTTATTGCAATCATATGAAAGCAATGAAATCGAGAATTTTATATCTATTCTAGGGTTTTCCCTCCCGAATTTGTCACTGTGAAAGAGGTTAGACTGGTAAACAGGGGCTGTGTCCACCGTTCCAAATGACCTCAGACCATTCAATTGACATTTTCTGAAACCTGCACACTGTTAGACATACCAAGATCATAGATCCGTATTCCAGCGCAGATTACACCTGCAATTAAGTCAAACACCCTCGTACACGACAACCCCAATGCTCAGACAGCCAAGAGTGGTTTCTTCAATGCTGGCTACTACCCCAGATCAGAAACTCTAGTCCGAAACACTTTGGTATCATCACAGCAACCCCCATCCATCCGACCCTAATTCCAGCCCCACACATGCCTCCGCACCTGCCCGTCCATCATTCCACGCCCAACTCTTCCTCACAACCTTCTGCACCTACCGCTCCCACACCCCGCAAAACGAAACTCCTAAAACCCCCCTACTGCTCAGAAGTCCATGTCTCAGTGATTCTTATGGTGTTATTGTCATCTCAGCACAGTTAACTCAGTGTGGTGCATGACATCAATCTCCTCACCGACACAATTTCCCTCCCCCCACACTCACCCTCACACACTTCATTTTCACGCTGTTCACGGAAGCTTCTTCCTGCGCAGGTAGATTCTTCAGGGTCAGGTCGAACAGCTGCCCGTGACATCGTTCTCGGCAACTTTCAGCGCTCTATGTGCTATTGATCACCAGCACACGAGTGACTCTAGTCAGATTGCCTCCTAACCATCCTTCGCAACACCCACATCCGCTCAGACCCTTAGATGTTCTGTATGTTTTTTTATGGAAGTTTCAGCCAGCCGGCTGATTACCAATTCTAATCATTGCGGTCCTCCAACACATTATGTCCACACAGACACCAGCGCACAATGACCCGACCACACATCCAACCTCCACATCCACAACGCACGCCCCACCCTGTAGGCGCTCCGGGGCCAAGAAAAACCGCAGCTCCGACTCAAGGAAACATGGGCGCCACACAACAATCAACAATCAACCCTGGGCTAACCATACCAACACCAGCCAAACACCGGTGCCACTCTACGTACACCCGGTCCGGTGCCGAGATTGAGAATCACACACTCCCGCTGTGGTTCGCTGGGCCTGCCGATGGCACAACTTATAGGGTTTCGGCGCCACTCACCCCGCTGAAGACACAAACCCTAATCCGCCACATGTTCCCGCAACTCCCCACCCTTGGGAACGTCACCCCTCCGCCCTCTCCTCCCAGGCTCCCCGCCTACTCAGAGGGTTCATTTTCTGTTAAGCAATTCTTCTTCTTATCAATCAATTTGTCCAACAGATACACATGCCCTGGTAACTCCAATTCACTTTAAAACGCCAATACATCCATCATACATCTGCTTGCACTCCTTCTTGCTCTCTCCAATATGTCAACCAATTCATTCAGCAAGTCCAAATACTAATAATAATAATATTCTTCTTCTTCTTGCTCATTTACAAAAAAATGCCTTGGAACAATCACAGAAGCCTATTGTTTTGCAAATTTATCTATGTAAATAACTCGGACAAGCATGTTGGAAAATATTAATGTTGGTTTTTTTCTTTTTCATCATTGGCCTTGATGTTGAGGATATAATCAAAAGAAGCAACATGAATTTTATATGGCTTTAAGTCTGAAATAAAATCTTCTTACTTCAAGTGCTTCTTCATGAGCAAGAAAGAATTCCCTACATTTTTTCCAATGCATCACTTTTAACCATAAATAGTTAATAATAACTAATCTTAGTGAGGTCCTTTACTTTGATATTTATTAATTAACTTTCTTGAAACAAAACCTTATTCACCAACCCCAACTCTATGAGGTCATTATTAACAACTACAATCTCTTGTAATACAAAATCATATGAATTGTTTAAGATATAGGAATAAGTAAATTTTACAAACATTGTCATGTTGTAACACAACTATGGGGTGAAAGAGTACACAAGGATTAATAATTTTAAAATACTTTATTGAAAATGTAGTAGAAACTTATTTTACAAATAATAAACAAAAGATAGCAAGATATTGGAAATTTTAGTGTTATTCTTGCATTTTTTTAAAAATAACTTCTATCTACTTATAAGACTATAAATAAGACAAGTTATAGGTAGATAAGACATAAAACTACCATAAACATATTCAAGGAGAAATAAATAGTAGTTTACAATAAAAAAATTGCTAAAGAAAAAATGAAGCTCATACTTGATAAGAAGAGTTTGTGGACAATGGCCAAAACTAGACCCCAAGGCACAAAATCAAGAGCCTACAACATATGTAGGATATTACTATCAATCAAAGAAGAAGATTAAGGAAGAAACTTGTGATAAATTCTATGTGGATTATGTTTAGGCAATTGGGGTTTAAAATGAGTTTGCAAGAGATATTCAAAGTCATAGTTGGATTTGAGTGACTTTATTTTTAATAAATAAAATGGGATTTATATGTTTTTTAAATTTTAGAATTTTCACTAGACTTATAAGTAATTATTTGTGGATTTGAGCAAATTCTTTTTTTGAATTTTTAATATAAAATTCTCATCAAATGGTCAATTAGAAATGAAGTTGTTGACATTCAAGTCAATTAGAGTATTGAGAATTGGTAGTTTGAAGGTTAGAAAGTGTTTTTAAGATTTGCAACAACCTATCAATTGAATTGAGATGAAATTTATTTTAAAAGTAGTTGATTTGAATTACATCATTTAGGAAAATTTTAAAATCAAATTAATAGTGCAAAAAATTGATATTGGCATTGTGAGTTCTACATCAAGGTTTGAAAAAGAGACATTTAACATCCAATTAAATTATCCATCTTTTTTTCAATTTATAAGAGCAATTATTTGTAATTTTTTTGAAGGTGGTGTCAATTAGAAGATTGATGAGTGTTCAAAGTTTTAAGTAAAATAAAAAATTAGTAAAAAGTTGCATCGATTTTTTATCTATTATTAAGTTTACTAAGAATTGATTAAGATTTGTTAGAATTTGATTAAGGTTTTGGTAAAATTGGTTTAAATTTAATTATGATTTGTTGGATTTTATTTAGAATTTGAATGAGGTTACGGTAGGATTTTTTAGAATTTATTCAAGGTTTAGTTGAGATTTAGATAGGAGTGGTTATGATTATTTAAAATTTGTTTAAGGTGTATTAGGATTGAACTAAGGTGTATTTAGGCTATTTTAAAACTTAGTATCATATTTAGATTATTTATGATTGTATGGCCTATAATTTAAAATAGATAGGAGTAAATTTTCATTAATTTGAAGATCCTAAAAGGATTACAATTGCCAAGATAGGTGTTTTTAAATATGTCATCCATTTACTTTTTTACTACACAATTTTTTTTAAAGTTGAATTGAAATCTTACAAAAACCTAGATGATTGAGGCATTCTTAGACTAAGTTTCAAATAACACAACAATGCAACCAATAGTTTATTTAATCCACTTCTATTGAAATATTTTTTTAATTCTTTATTCATTATTTCTTATACAAATTATAATGTTTAAATCCATATAAAAAAACTATTATACTTTTTTTGGATAGTTATTTTTTTATGCAATACTATAATATTACTAATTTATATATTTATAAAAGCGTAATATAATCCTATTAATGATACAAAGTTATTAATTATAAAATAATATTCTAAATATAATTACAAATTAATTTTATCAAATTTTAATAGACTTTTAAAATTCCATCTATATAATAAATGAGGTCAATTCAATGTTCTATTTGTAAATTGATCTTTATCCAAGTTCTTTACAAATCAAAATCCAAATTCATTTATTACATACATCCTCTATTTTAATCCTATGCACCATTATTTATTTTATTGTATAATATAAAATTTCTCATGTTCTATATTTAATTTCATATAAAGTTATTATAGAAGAAAATACTTCATCTTATTCTAAAAAAAATCGATATCCATTAAATATAAAATTATGAAGACAAAACCTTAAAATCCAAAGGAACTTTGTATGTGTTGTTTCTTAGATACAACAAGATAGATCTAATTATACTATTCTTAAATTAGGATCTTTTACTTGATATCCTAAAATCATTAAGTTGATACTTTAAAACTTTTGAGATTTAATATCTTAATATCTTTGAATTGATTTAAAATATTTTATCTTAAAATTTTGAAAATGGTAATTCTTAAAATAATTTTGTTGGCTATTTGTTCTCTATATTATAAAAATTATCTAAAATTTGATTTTTATACTTATTTTTTTTTTAATATCATCATATTATTAATGGTTGGTTTCTATTTTTAATTAACAAAATTACTATTGATGTATTTTCCAAATTCTTATGTAGCTTCTATATGAACTTATTAATAATATATCTATACCATTATACAAGATTTCCTAATTTATTATGCTACTAACTTAAATTTGTTTATTTTTGAATCTAAAGACTCTTCTTATTTTTCTTATAATTTTTAAATAAAGAAAAAATAAGGAATGATATATTTCAAAGAAAAAGAAGTTTAGCAATCATGTTTTAGAACTTCTATGTAACAAGGAGAACCAACAATTGTCAAATCTATCTTGAGAGTTTTGATTTGCAAGATTGCTAAACAAAGCACTTAGATTATCTCAACCTAAACAACTTTAAACTTGTAACAAAAACCTTCAAAATAAAAAACCTTTCTTCAAATAAATAATATTGTATAATAAATTTGATTCTATGATCTTAGAAGAAACTCTCTATGTATAGTTATATAATTGGAGGTTGCTACTTTACTAAATAAAATATAAAATATGTTTATTGAAGATGGTTATAAAGGTCTCAATAATAATAATATAATATAATGGTCCTCTTTTTGTAATATGGAATGTAGTCAATAATTGAAAGGACCTATCAAAAACCTTTGTGTAGAATATAGTTTAAAATTTATTGCTAATATCATTTGACAAATCTTATCAAAGATACAAATTACAATAAATTTTAAAAGACAATATATTTGAGTGTTATTGAAAAAAAATGAATAAATAAATGAAAAAAAAGATAGTTATACAATTGAAACAAACTAAAAATGCCACTATCAAATACATAAAAGCTAAGGATTCTTGAACTAAGATTGAAAACACAAAAAAGGTGTTGACTAGATTAGAGATGACAACAATTTTGCTTCTACATACATTGGCTACAAAGAAGGTATCAAAGAAGCTTTATAGGCACCAAAAGGCTTATCAATGAAATATTAAGTAATAGATTATTTCCTATGCAACTTCCTAAAAAACAAAAAAACATGGGCTACAAGTTCTAAATGACATCTGGCATATCT